TAATTGGAAACTGAGCGGTAGCGTTCAGAGGCAAATCTAGTGAAATCACTCAACGGTTGCGCAACGGTTGTGTCTGAACGCACCCAATGTTTATCAACATGATCGATTCTGCGTATGGAATCGTAATCGCCTATTCTGTCCCTGACTCAGTATAGAAGTTGTCAATGTTGATCAGTCTTGAGAAGTTATCATCAATCAACTTGATATTACGCAAAGATCCTTAAAAAATGAATGGTTTTATTTAAAATGAATATTTTATTCCACATGTAAGTACGCAACTAACGCATAGTGTTTGTAATAATGATACTATGATTGATAAATAGCGACTATTAATTACCTACAGGAATTTAATCCATTAAATATGACTAAATGTCATATGCTATGTTAGGCTGTTCATAAAGATAGTTCCTTTCAGTATACGAGTACTGTTACAAAAATTACATATGATTAAAGTCTGTCGGTTTAAAATGTTCATAACCATCGGAAAACTTTTGATTATTATTCTTATTAGTCCAAGTTCTACATATAATAAACGATCACCAGCTGCCCCTGAGTTTGGCCGCCCTGGTGCGGGGGCAGCTTCTGCACCCCTGCCAGGCGAGACCCTGGATGACGGTACCTGGATCCAGGTATCATTACTCATCTGTTTTTAGATGTGTTTTGAAACGGTTTTGAAAATATGCAGATCTTCTTACAAAGTGCTAATATAAATAACTGTACACTTTTGTTAGTTTCTGTAAGCTGGATGAGGCGTGGAGTTTCGAAAATCCTGGGTCAAAATGAATCCAGATATATCTTAAAAATGAATTATCGTATCATAGTTCGTTCTTCATTATTTTAATCTAGAAAGATTGTCCTACTATAATAATTTGTCGGTTATATGAAAAATTGATTTTTTAATACTGAAAATTATAATCAAATTCTTATTTTGCAATTTTCTCTGTGAGGGCCAAGGGGTACCAATATGACCAGCAGAATATTTGCCTCGTAATACTATACTCAAACTTATAGCTCTCCCAAAGAAAAATTTGTAATATTGAAGTGTTCTCCACTGTATTGGTTGCTTCATTTTAAATAAAACCAAACAATATAATACGACATGTTTTCAAAAGTGTGACTTATATCTGCAATATTATTTTCAATTTCTAAACATAGAAGAACTATTTGCATAGCCTGTTTTAAATGGTAAGTCTAGGTATGCGTATATGTGCGCTCGCGTGCGTATGGTGCGCTTATACGTCGCGTGTATGTATAAGTAAGAGTCAGAGATAAAATATTAGCAAACTTACTACGAAAACTAAAGACTAAGAAAGAAATTAATCCGAAGTGATTAAACATACCATAAATTGCGTTTTATAAAATACGTTTAAAATGCATACCGAAGTAATCTGGTTATGTAGTCAGGCCAATT